ACGTGAGACGCGGGGGCGGCGGGACGTGAGACGCGGGACGTGAGACGCGGGACGTGAGACGCGGGGCGGCGGGACGTGAGACGCGGGCGGTGGGACGTGAGACGCGGAACGGCGGGGAGGCGGGACGTGAGAAACGAGACGGCGGGACGTGAGACGCAGGACGTGAGACGGAGAGACGCGAGACGCGAGACGCGAGGCGGGGAGACGCGAGACTCACGGGCTGCAGCAGCGGCAGCGGGAGGCAGTGGCCGGGCGGCTGCGACGAGTAGTGCTGCACGTCAATGTCCTTGTCACTCCGCAGCAAGCTCAGAACTCTGCTGATGTCATCACAGTGGGGATTCTTGGGCGAGGTCATGAACTCTGTAAAGGTCAACGACGTAACGGGGTCAAAGGTCACGCTCTGACTGTGTGAGAGCGCGTGCGAGTGCCAGCCTCACGTTGGGCACGGCGTCTGTGCTCAGCGCTAGCAGACTCTCCCTCTCCCTCCCCTCCCCTCCCCTCCCCTCCCCTCCCCTCCCCTCCCCTCCCCTCCCCTCCCCTCCCACACGTACCTATGGGCAGCACTGACTGTGTGAGAGCGCGTGCGAGTGCCAGCCTCACGTTGGGCACGGCGTCTGTACTCAGCGCTAGCAGACTCGGCAGGAAGTCCTTGGCGAATCGCTCCAGGTAGACGTCGTCGCCGGCAACCTCGTCACGCAGCAGGTACTGACACAGCATCGCGAACCTGTACAGGTGAGAGATATATACACAGGTGAGAGAGGAATATACACAGGTGAGAGAGACATATACACAGGTGAGAGAGACATATACACAGGTGAGAGAGGCATATACACAGGTGAGAGAGGCATATACAGGTGAGAGAGGCAGATACACAGGTGAGAGAGGCATATACAGGTGAGAGAGGCACATACACAGGTGAGAGAGACATATACACAGGTGAGAGAGACATATACACAGGTGAGAGGCATATACACAGGTGAGAGAGACATATACACAGGTGAGAGAGGCAC